TATGATTTTACTAAAATTCGATTTTGACACGGTGTTATTTTTTGTTACAATTTAATTACTAACTTTTCTAAAATATTGACTGTGTAACTAGTCAACATGGTTACCTAATGACATGACATGTTGATGTGTCAATCTTTAGTGACTTAGCATGTTGGCATGACATTATTTTGTTATGTAGCGGTGACGCGCCAAAATTGAAAAAAAAAGTGACACAAAACACATTAAGTTTTCATTTTTTTTTATATTTTGACAAATCATTTTTTTGTTTCAAATCGATTTTCATTTTCTAATTTAATTTAATGTGACCAATTTTCATTTGAAATAGTATAAATAATTTTTTTACATTTGAGATCATATAAAATTATACTTTTTACGTTTAAAAACAATAATTTTTAGTATAAATACAAGTTTTTCACATTTAAATCGTATAGCTATGTAAAAATATGTATTATTTATATTATAACTATATGTTGTTGGTGATTTGTTATCATCGATATTATTTACGTGTGATATGATTAAATTTGTTGACCAAATGTGATCCTCGAAAATATTAAACAAGTTAGGATGGTGCGGAGTGCACACTTATTTAAGTTTTCAATATTTGAAGTACACTATCATTTAGGGGCGAAGCCCTTAAATGAACGGGGGTCCGGGGGCAACGCCCCTAGGAGCGGGGTCCAAGAGGTGGAAGCCCCTGGTGGGGTCCAAGGGTCAAAGCCCTTGGCTGGGGTCGAGCTGTTAAGAATGCATTAGAAATTCGGTTTTTGAAAAATTGACTCATTTTGACCCTTATTCTAAAATATGTTTTTTATGACAGTTTTGGTGGTTTGGTAGCAGTTTGAAACTGTCATGTAACCGTTTCAAACAGAAAACTGTCATGTGACAGTTTTCAGACAGAAAACTATATACCCGTTTTTGGTCATTTTTTGTACACGTCAAGAACAATTCCACTAACATTCTCTCATTCGAAATCTTTGAATTTTATCTAATTTAGTGTTCGATCCGTACCATCGAAATACTTCAATTTGGTAGTGAATCCACGATTTTCAGGGAATCCAAGCAATCTTTTCTTCCCTAATTTCTAACATATGTTTCATTAAATACTCATTTTAATATAAAATATGTACTTTTACATATAAATATATAACTTTAATGTAAAAATACGGTTTAAACGACGTAATATCACATTAATATGTGTATTATTATTTTTAACCATCAGTTGCTTACGCCTTAGGCACATATATCTTTCTTAGTTTCACGCTGACCTAATGAATTGAATATGAATAAAAGTCAGTATTTTAGTATGCACGAGATTCAACAACCGAAGCTACTGGTAGTCCCAAGGGGAAGGAATCCTCCAATAAGAGTTAACGGGCTATCTCCCAACTTTCACTTTAGGAACGTGTTCGTCTGTTTTTATTGAGCTTTCTGTGCCATGCGCTTTGCAGTCAGAAAAACTTCAGTCCAAAATTGACTAAGGACAGAAGCAAGCTACAAGCATTAGCAACCGCTTTCGCCATCGTTTACGGCTAGGACTACTGGGGTATCTAATCTCATTCGCTCCCCTAGCTTTCGTCTCTCAGTGTCAGTGTCGGCCCAGCAGAATGCTTTCGCCGTTGGTGTTCAGGTATACATAATATGTAGCTCATATTATCTTATATTAAAAAAATAAGGGAGTACATTAAAAAATAATAAGAGGCCATGTCATTCTAAACTTTAGATCTCATTCACAAACTTAATTACATCACCCTATGTGGTAGAAACCACATTGCTATAGGTATAAATGTATATAAAATTGGTGAAATAAAATTGTACAAAAGATATGTATTTATTTTCATTTAAATCATATTTTCACATTAAATTACATGTTTATATGTTAAAATACATATTTTACATTAAAATAATTTAATGAAAAATATGGTTATAATATAACCAATACAAATTTATACATAAGGTTACGGTTTAAATAAAAAAATTGTATTTATACAAAGAAAATATTGTTTTTAAATGTAAAAAATATATTAATAAAATTTTTGATGTAAAAAAAAATACGTTTCGGTTGGACAATTGTCAACACTTAGCGAAATTGAAAAAAAAATTGATTTTTGATTTGAAAAAAAAAGTGAATTGTCAATTTGTTTTTTTAGACAAAATTTCATAAATGGTCTCTGTGGTTTCACAAAATCTGAAAATTCGTTCCTAACATTAAAAAAACCTCACGGATGAACTCTGTGGTTTCAAAACTTTTAATGTTTAGTCCTTGTGGCTCACTCAGTCAATATTTGCCCATTAAGTGAGACATTTTCGTCATTTCACTACCCGGGACAATTTATAAGGTTTTCTTCTAATTTTTTTTTAAAAAGAAAAAATGAAATTTAACATGTAAAGTCTATCTCCCTCCTATACGTCTTCTTCCTAAAAAGAGCACACCCTTTTCTTGATTTGGATTTTTTAAGTTCTACAATTTCAAAATCAAGCCTAGACTGAAACAAACCCAGATCAACCTTTACCGCTACATTCTCGTGGATTAGAGCCTCCTCCAACCGATTTTAGTCATCGCCCTTTGACTTAAGGGTCCGATTTTGGTTTTGAATCCACCACAACCTGTATGGTTTTTAGGGTTTCGATGGCCTCCTCATGAATTCCTCTCATATTTTTTCTCTATCTACCATTGAATCCAGATATAGAATCTGGACATCGATTTGTTTCTTCGACATCGATTTGTTTCTCCGATACCATGTTCTGATAAAGATGGAGGCATGAAATTGGTTCTCCAAACAATGTTTCTGTTTCCGTGATTTTAATGTCGCCGTCGTGAATTCCAAGACAGACAAATCTGGCCTTTCTCGGAGGATGCACAAAAGGTAAACTTTGATCGATCTGTTTCTTCTTTAATCTACTAAGTTCACTTCTATGTTTCATGAATCCGTATCAGATTCAATGTTGGTTTGTGAGTTCTATCTTGTTTATGTGATTTGTGGCTCACCTTTTTCGGTTTTTCCTGATACTCAAATGGTGAACCTTGTGGTGATCGATGATAATAGAAGGAAGGAACCGAAAGATTTTGATAAGCAAGTGCAGATGACGAAGACGTATCACCTGGTAAGATTTATTTTTTGTTTTCTAATTAATAATCTCAGAATCGGTTTTATCATACTGATTAAAGATTTATATTTAGAATTAATTTTGAATTGTAGATGAATTTGTTATTGAAAAGCTTCATTTTGGCAAAATTGATGGAGAAAGCGCCACGAGATCTCTCTAGCGGGTTTACTGAAGTCGCAGAAAAAATTTAAGTGGAGATGAAGGTGGCAGACGGTGGTGGTGGTGAACTGTGGTGGTAGCGGACAGTGGTCGAAAGGTGGTGGTGGTGGCGGCGGACGATGTTCTTGAGTTCATGAAGATGTTCTTCCGTATTAAATGTGATGATAGAGAGACCCCTTGCATATTAAATTTGTTTCTTTTTAAAAAAAATAATAATAGAAACCCTCATAAATCGTCTCTAGGTAGTGAAATGACGAAAATACTCTTTGCTTAATAGACAAATACTGACAGAGTAAGTCGACTAAACATTAAAAGTTTTGAAACCATATGGACCATCCGTGAGGTTTTCTTAAAGTTAGAGACTAAACTTCAGATTTTGTGAAACAACAGGGACCATTTATGAAGTTTTATCTTTTTTTAAGTGAGAACTTAGTGTCCAAATTGACAAAGTGAAAACTTAGTTTCTTTTGTGTCATTTTTTTTTCAATTTTGACACGTTTTAAAGATCTTTGTGCCCAAGAGTTATTATCAAATGACATTTGTTAATGACATAGGATCTCAACTACTATAAATACAAATATCGTTCTTTATTTTTCACCACATTCAAACCTTCTTCATTCAACTCTCTTATTTTTTTTCATCATCTTCAAACATTCATCTCTAAAAAATGGCTCGACTTTAGACCACGGATAAAGAGATCGTCTTGGCTCGTGTATGGATCGATGTAAGTGAAGAGCCACTCAACATAAACGTCATAGATGCGTCTACTTTTTGGTCGAGAGTCACTCAAAGATACAATCGCGAAGCCGGTTGACGTCGAAGCAAAAATCAACTCTTCTCCAAATGGAGACATGCAAACGCAGCTGCAGTGCAATTTCACATTGTGTTTGTTAGGATGAGGCGTGAAGTAGTAAATGGTGAAAATGAAAGAATTTTGTTCGTCAATGCTCTTGAGGTTTTCCGTGAAGAAACTAACAAACATTTTCGGTTTGTTGAGTTTTGGCAAGTTGTGAGGGAGAGCGACAAATGACATCAATATGTCCAATGAACTTGTGTTGTGTTTTATTTTAATTTGAAGTTTGTTTTAATGTTTCACATGTTTTGATTTCAAGTGTCTTGTGTGTTTTTTGATTTTAAATTCGTTGTGTTTTAATTTCAAGTTTACTTGTTCTTGTTATTTTAATGAAAATATTAGTTTTATGTATTAGTTTTTATATAAAATATTTTTTGTTCTAAAAAAATTAATTTGAATGACAAAAGTGACAAATCATGTCTTTTAAATGACAAACGTTCGAAAGATGTGTGACAAATTCTAAATGACGCGAGAAAAATGGCAAAAATGATATCAGTCCCTTAGCCTTATAATTGAGAATAATCAAGCAAGATAATTTTCAATAGTTTTAAAGTATTTCATTTTTACAAGAAGCAAAATAAAGTAAATGGAGATGGAGTATCACTTGCGTGTAAACAGAAAGTGAGTAGGTAGTAGTGTTGACATTTGACAATATGATCGCGCGCCCTAATTAATTAATCAGATGGACAATTTTGTCCTTGGTTGGATACGATTGCTCTCGTTGTTTCCTAACTAACAAGTACATGCCACAATGGCAAAAATGTCAAAAACACTACATCGTTTGAAATCCAAATAAATTTTTATAGAAAAACACGTGATAACATGCCACTCCAGTTACTCTTAAATCATTAAAATATTTCACCATTAATTTATTTAATAATTTATTTATTAGAAATAGCAAATACCGCATTGTCTCTACATGTGTGGATATATTCCATAAATTGTTTTGTACACCCACATAATATTGAAAAAAAGTAGTTGAAATTTTCTCAAGATCTTAAACCATGTCGATCTCAACCTTTTTGGCTTCTCAGATAAATTTGCATGAAACCCTAGCTCACAAATCCCATGCTACTGTTTCTTTCAATCCTATTTCTGGGTTTCAGATCAACAAACACACACTAGCGCTAGCTCCTCTCACAACTACCAACATCGCCACCACTAGATGGGATTCCATCATCGCTTATGCCAACGTGGAACCCGCTGGAACACCATCTCCACCACCTGGTTCTTGGTAGCTAATCTTCCTACTCGTTTCTTTTATTTATTTATTTATGAGTCGTTAGTATTTATTTTTTTAACTTTTAGGAAGAATTGGGCTATTGGGATTTTGATGACATTTATCATTCCCTTGGTTACCACCAAAGGAGGTCCAATAAAATTTCTTCTGCGTAAGTGTTTAAGTTTTTTTTTTTATCTTTAATGATTAATTTTTTTTTAGAATAATGGGTTTTGGTGTTACAGAGAAAGTTGACCAGATAATGGCGACGGCGGAGCATATATCGGATATAGTGGAATCGGTGGCGGATAAGGTGGACAAAGTGGTGGAGGAGCTCCAAGATGATCTGCCGGAAGATAGCCAACTCAAGAAGACTCTTGATTTTATCGAACATGTGGCTGAAAGAGTTGAAAAAGATGCTCACACCGCCGGAGATTTCATTGACAAGGTTGGTTTTTCTTTTCTTTTTTTTCTTTTTCTTTTTATGAAAATTAATTTAGAGTTCAAGATTTTTTATTTTTTTTTTCAAATGATCATATGTTTAGTTTTCTTTTTCAATTTATTGATATGTATTTTTTCTTGATATTTGGAATTTCAGGTTCAAGAAATGGAAGACAAGATAGAGGATATAATGGAACCTGTATTAGAGGAAGCTAAGGAAGTTGATAAAGAAGCCAAGGAAAAAGAAAAAGCACGAAAAAAATGAAATATATAATTACGTATAACTTGTAAATCTCTTATCACCGGTATCTTTTTCATGTCAAATTTTTGTTTGGTAATGAAAAAAATTAAATTCTATAGCTTAATCGAATAATGTAAAATTTCATTTCAAATAATACTAGACATTTGTGCCCTTTTGTAGACTTGTGGTTTTTTAAGGAAAATGTGAAAAGAGTTTCAATATAAATCTTTTATCATCATGATTTATTTTTCTTGATATTGTTCGTATATAGTAGATATTATTATTATTGAATATCTCATTTTGCGATCTATCTTACGCGTCATGTGTTGTTATTTATTAAACACGAAAAAACATATTTCACGTGTAAAATCATTTTCGGGCCTCTAGAAACGCAATACCACATCATTTTGAGTAGAATCATATTTTGCTTAAGAATCATCTTAAAAATGATCGATAGTGCATGATGTAGCACAACATTTAATTTTTTAACTTAACTTCAATATTTCAAATTAAATAAGTTATCGAAAACTTGATCATGTATTGCAAATATTTTTGGTTTAATATTGGGTCGGCTTCTTTCATTAAACATAAACTTTATATATGTCCCGTCGAGTAATTTACACTTACTTATTAGATCGATATAACTTTAGCAAATATTCTTCATTTTATTGAAACTTACTTGTTAATGTATAATTTTATTGGGCGTACGTATTTAAATCTTTGAATATTCAACACGCCTAACACTATCGAGCTCGACCTCGTGATTATTACGTACGTATTAAAACTTACAACAACTTGTCAACTTGTATCTGCATTCGCCATATCTTAATATATATCTTGTAAGGTATAAATTAATTTAGATCGGAGCAGTGGAATCTTGGACACATCATTCAAGGTTGGCAATAGTTATTGATGTTGAAAAGTACCTTCAAATCAACCAATCTCGCAATATAAACTTCTTTCATAATTTACAGTAAAGGCTTGAGGGCACGTTCATGTCACATTAAATGTACGCATGTCATTTATATGGAATGGGTTAAGATATGTTAAATGGTTTGAAATTGAAAATAAATAAATAAATAAACCCTTGCGTTCTTTCTCCTCTCTCGTTAATAGAATGTCTTTTCCTTACGATTCATTAGACATGGCACATTAATTGGGGGTGGTGTACGCCGAGAGTGCCGAGGCCATGCCAACTCCACTCCGTCGATTGGAGATGAAATTAAAAGATAGGGCTGGTCCTGATGTTTCAAATGTCCAGGACGAGTCGGAAAAAAGGCTCTTAGGCCCTAACGTGTAACGAATTCAATTATATAAATCTGAAATGTGCATACCTCCTTCCAAGGCTACCTCTGCTAAAACTGAAAGAATGTTTATTTTCTCAATTGTGTAATATGGTTCTTTTTCCTAAATTACCCTTGAAACATCAAGCATTTTCCAAGCTAAATCTCGGCCAGATTCGTCTTCTTCATCCTCACCATCACTTCCTTCATCATCTTCATCTTGATCTTCCGCTTAAAAAAACAAAGAACATAAATGCAATTGTCATCCATATTTGTATTATTGAAAACATTTCAAACATCATTGATGTGAATTATGAAGATTTGAAGTACCTTCTTTAGTATTGCTTTATTCACAGTAGTTTCACTATTTTCAGCAGATTTAGTGGATCCTTTTCAGTGGATTCTTTCTTGGAAACAGGAACTCAGACTAATGGATCGAATTCATCTTGAGCCTTGTATAGAAGTGCACATCTATATTTACAATATGATCTCACACATTCAGGCGCAAGCTCGACATAATGTGTAGCTCTAATACAACAACCCAAAAGAAAGAAATTTCATCATCTTTATCTCAAAATAGATGTGTTCAATTATATTCCACTTGCAACAGAATATAACATAAAAAGTTCAAGATGTAGCTCTAGGTCTGGAAATCGTGTCGTGTTCGGGTTGGCGTGTCGCGGGTTGGTAGGTTGGCGGGTCAAAATATATCAACCCAAACACGACCCATTTAAATATACAGGTCACGGGTTGGCGGGTTTGCAACATAAACTCATATATGACCCGCCAACCCATTTATTTATACGGGTTCACAGGTTGGCGGTTCGTGGGTCAGATTTGGGTTCGTGGATCAGATTTGGGTTCGTGGGTCAGATTCCATAAATAAAATTGATAATTAAACATGAAAAAATTATTGATGGTTGATGCAAACATATCCGAATTTTAGACACTTAAGTCTTAAACATCCAAATGAAGATTTAAAACATTCATATAAACATGTTCAAACTAAACATTAATACAAACATAGATAATTCAAGTGCTAAAGTAATTTATTATATAATACTTATTAAATATTAATACTTGATACATAAATACATTTAAAAATAAAATAATTTTTTTTATTAAAAATATAAACGGGTTGGCCGGTCAACCCCTATATTTTTTGAGAAACCCATATATGACCCGTTTAATAAACGGGTTGGCGTGTTGGCGGGTTAGCGGGTTGGGGGTTAAAAAACTCAACCCAAACCCATTTATTTCGTGTCGTGTCGCAGGTCGTGTCGAGAATTGTCAGCCCTATATATCTCAAATTTTCTAGTTCAAAAGCAAATTCTTCTAAACAATACTTAGTTAATAGTACTACACCAAATTTGTTAACTATAACTATTTAATTCTCTAACAAACAAAATTACACTTCAAAACATGGTTTGTTTGCTTTCAACAAAGCAGAATACGAGATTATTCGCATATATCAACAGGAAAAAGACTTCTAGATGATTAATTGAATAAAACAGTCTATAGAGTTAGAAACTACCTGATTTCTAGGGCACGACTGAAGCAATCAGTAACTTCGGCATAGTCTTATTCTTTGTTAATCGTCGATACTCTCTCCGTCAGCTCTTCAGCGTACTTGAGTGACTTCTCCCTTTCTCCATTAGACGCCAGCCCCGATGTCTCGACAACATCATTGTTGTTGCACGAAAAGGTTGTGTCACCACCCGTTGAGTTGGTATGTAATCGATCATCCGTCCTCGCTTGAATAATTGCTTCTCTGCCTTCGGCTGTGTACTCCTGATTCCTGAATACATTATAAAAAAATAAGGCCCTTGAAAATCTTGGGCCTGTGCATGTGCACAGGTTGCCCCCCTCATCACCGGGCCTGTTAAAAGAGTATGAAGGATTATTATATCAATGTATTAATCTTACAGTGGATAAATAAAAAATAATTGTGGAAAAATCAGTTCTTTTAATTTATATATGTTTTGGATCTAGCTAGCTCAAAAAATGTTTTATTTCTTTATAAATCTTATCATTTTGTAATGGTTTTAAATAGCGGTGAATATCATATGTATACAATTTATTGTTTTCAAGCCGTACATCATATTATTAATAGTTTGTACAAAACTTTTTGCTACTCGTATCAAAATATATTTGGTACCAACTTTTTTGGCTACTAATAAGTTTGGTGGTACAAATTGATAATGATATACACCAACTTCTTTATACTTTTCAATTGTAATAGTTATAAACATGTAAGGGCATGAGACAATTTTGTCGTCTAGTATAAAAAAAAATTTAAAGTGAATATTTTAGTTTATTAAAGAATTCTATTAAGTAACTTTTCAGTTTTTTAACGTAACGTGGTAATGACTATTAACTACGATTAAATTACAAATACCATTTTGTTTAAATTGTAAGCCCTAAACACATTTGACAATCGAAATATATGATTTCGTATGTGTGTGTGTGTCTATATATATATATATATATATATATATATATATATATATATATATATATATATATGGGCTTAGGGAATATGTGACTGTCATGTACCTAAGCTTATATATAGAACCCTCCAAACAATGTAGTTTTGATCCATTTATATTCAAATTAATCATGATATCTCTTTTACTATTCTTCCTTAATCATGTGACTTACTAAATCGATCAAATTTATGTTTTTTTTTTTCATTGTGTCTAAGAACTTAAAGCATTAATAGTCGTGACCATTTAATCAACCCTACTAAATTCTAAATAGAAACTAATAGAATAAAAGAGAAAAGAAGAACAAGTCATAACTCAATCAAGCTTTTCACAAAATCATTGGATATAGTTTTTCAATTGAAAGACAAAACACTTGAGTTATATTCGTTAAAAAATATTGGTTTTTTATTTTCTCTATAAACTTCAATAATTATTTGCAATAAAAAGATATATAATTGATTTTTTTTCATTCCATAATTGAACTTAATTCAATGTTATGTAATCGATCATCCGTCCTCGCTTGAATAATCGCTTCTCTGCCTTCGGCTGTGGACTCTTGATTCCTGAATACATTATAAAAAAATAAGGCCCTTGAAAATCTTGGGCCTGTGCATGTGCACAGGTTGCCCCCCTCATCACCGGGCCTGTTAAAAGAGTATGAAGGATTATTATATCAATGTATTAATCTTGCAGTGGATAAATAAAAAATAATTGTGGAAAAATCAGTTCTTTTAATTTATATATGTTTTGGATCTAGCTAGCTCAAAAAATGTTTTATTTCTTTATAAATCTTATCATTTTGTAATGGTTTTAAATAGCGGTGAATATCATATGTATACAATTTATTGTTTTCAAGCCGTATATCATATTATTAATAGTTTGTACAAAACTTTTTGCTACTCGTATCAAAATATATTTGGTACCAACTTTTTTGGCTACTAATAATTTTGGTGGTACAAATTGATAATGATATACACCAATTTCTTTATACTTTTCAATTGTAATAGTTATAAACATGTAAGGGCATGAGACAATTTTGTCGTCTAATATAAAAAAAAATTTAAAGTGAATATTTAGTTTATTAAAGAATTATATTGAGTAACTTTTCAGTTTTTTAACGTAACGTGGTAATGACTATTAACTACGATTAAATTACTAATACCATTTAAATTGTAAGCCCTAAACACATTTGACAATCGAAATATACGATTTCGTATGTGTGTGTATATATATATATATATATATATATATATATATATATAATATATATATATATATATATATATATATATATGGGATTAGGGAATATGTGACTGCCATGTACCTAAGCTTATATAGAACCCTCCAAACAATGTAGTTTGATCCATTTATTCAAATTAATCATGATATCTCTTTTACTATTCTTCCTTAATCATGTGAC